ATGTGAGTAGTAGTGGTTTGACACATACTGATCACAAAATTAATTTCATGAGTAAATTTCAAATAAAAATTTGTTGAATGGAATTATTTCAGATCACAAAATTAATTTTTTGAATAAATTACTATCGAATAAATTAAAATTGCAAATAAAAATTTGTTGAATGGAATTATTTCAGATCACAAATCTTAATTTTATTTTAACAATAAGGTTATATTAATTATTAAATTTTAAATTAAATTAATTTTATTTTAACAATAAGACTGTATTAATTATTAAATTTAAATTTTATATTATTTTAACAATAAGTTTAATTATTAAAATGTTTTTATAACTTTGAATTAATACAGTATATTCTTTCTAATTATTATAAAATTAATTTGCAATAATTTCAGATAAAAAATTTCTTGAATAAATTAAGATAATAAATATTTATAAAACTTTCAATTCATTTTCATAAAATATCTTGTAACAATAAGACAAAGTTTCTGTATTATATCGAATAAAATTAAAACCCAATAATTGTATGAAATAATATAACACCAAAACAAAATTATTTTTGAATTTTATTTTTTTATTTTTACATTAATAGATTAAATTAGTTTATTATATTTAAGCTTTTTCCAGTTTTCTCATTCACTTTATCTAAAACATGGCACATTTCTGCTAATAAGTGGAGTAATAAGTTCTGGTGATTGTTTCCAATATATTCCCGGTCTATTTTCTGATATTTTAAAATGTAACACCATAAAAGTTCATTTTGGAAGTCATCAATAAATTGCAAATCAAGTATTTGGTAACGACAAACATAATTCCAGTTTAGATAATCTTTTAATACGCGTAATGTCATAGTTTTTAATCGTTGGTATTATAAATTTTTTAATATCAAACTTATGTATGTATCGCCTAATAAAATTATCTAAAAGGATTTGAAATTCGGCAACTTTATTTCAATCAAAATATTGTAAAAAATTAGTTAAGAATAATTCGTCTAACACAGTGTTTCTCAACCTCTAACGAATCGTTGCCCCCTTCAATAAAATCGTTAATAGTATCGCCCCCTTCACTACAAAATTTTGATGCCGAGAGCCATAGCTAACGCCAAATTCGTACTCCATCTAATAGACTAGTGACTAGTATAACGTTATTTGTTTAATTATTGTACGATATAACAAATAAAATATTTAATTATTCTTAATATAATGTTTTACTATATNTATATTTTTTCTCAGACAATAGACCAATATCGTTCATTTCTTTCTAATAGAGAAGAAAATGCGATTATGAAACACCATTTTCATAATACTGAATTGGTATCATAACATGGTAACGTAACTACATTCACATTTTTTGTGTGAAAAGTACTGCTAACTATTAAACTAAATATTCTCAATTGGATTTTAGCGAGCGTAATTATAAGTATGACTTTTGAAGAATATAATAATAATAATAAAGAAATGTATTGATACAAAGAAGCTAACCATTTAGAAAAATTACAAATATAATGCTCCAATAGATTAAGTATATATTTTTGCTTTTTTTCATTTTTCTTTTATTTTTTCATTCATCTACTACATACTTTTACAAAAGTTAGACAGATTTCATATTAAATATTTATCATGCATTTACTTATTATAATTGAATAAACTTATTATAGCATTAACATTTCAGCTTAGTTTATGCATCCAACTCTCATCCGTTCTGTTAAAAATACAAAACAAAGTAAGATTTACAACATTGGTAAATATGACGTAAAAAACAATAACATAAAAACTTACATGTCATATAATAGTATATCTAAAAATCGTGTTACAATATTTTTATCACATAGGTGTATGACCATTCTCTATAATATGAAAAATGTATAAAACATTGCTATTTGTAACGTTATTTATATAAAAAATTAATACAGATTGTTTATTTCAGAGTATCTAGAACACTTACACTTCCAGTTTATATGTATTATTCCCGAGGAAAAACATATCAAAATAAAACTGACTACTGGTGTTATATGGTGTTCGCGGAGTAACAATATACCGAAAAGTAATGTTATCAAATTCATTCCTAACATTCTTTACAACTGAATGTGCTATTTAACAATGTTTAACGCGTGGAGGCACTCTCTATTAGTTTCTGCCATTGGAGATCTATTGACATGCCTTCTAAAATATTAATTCTCTCTAAAATGTTTTTTTACTTCTATGTTTTCTTTAAATTTCCTTATATATGGGTCTTTGTCTAAATGTAGCANAAAATTCGATTTACTCTTGTTATTTAAGACAAGAAACTTTTGTTAATGTTACCTTAGGTTCCAAGATGGCGGCGCATCCGGTAATCTCCAATCGGAGCGTTAATTGGTATTCTCGAAAGATGGCGGTATCTGATTATAAGTGTGACAAAATACGAAAATCTGTTGAACATGACGTAAAATTTGCTTCGCGTGAATATGCAAAATATTTGATATGACGTATAGCTGAATGTTTCGCGTGTAATTATGCAAATTAGCTGATAGGGAGTCGTTTGCTACATGTCTATCGTTGCCTGTTTACTGTACAATCTGTTCATTGTTTCTACAATATTTTACTACAAAATTGAATATTTGGTAAATATAAAATATGTAAACAATAAGCTTTATATTTTATTTTAAAATACAGTCGTAACTTTTCCTAATTTTTTTTATTTTTTTTTGATTTTATTGCTAATTATGTTGTGAAGAGTATTGTAGACATAATTTCTGATGAAATTTAGTAAGGTCTAAATTTCATCAGGATTTTTCAACCTGATTACATACTGTTAATTCAACCTGTACAAGGTATTTTTTTTTTAATTTTGTTTAGAACATGAAGTTGATGATAATTTTAAAATTGCTGTAAAATTAGGTAGATAACGTATTGAATTAGAGTGCTTCCAATGTGTGAATACGTATTAATTACACTATCGAAATTATCGAAAAAGATGTTTTCTACGTAGAAGCTATTGTAAAAGTATATATTCTGCTAACAATTAATATTACAGATAAGTTTTGTCAATATATCTTGGTGATGTGCTTTGTCGTTTATCTATGTTTGGAATGTACCGCGAGAAAATTGGAATTTTGCGGCTGTTAATTAATCAAGGTAGGCTAACAGTGATGGTTCAAATCAAGTACGATTAGTGATAACATATATAGCAGGGGTGTTAATTAAAGTAAGTTTTATAGATTTAAAGTTTATAATGTTCAATTTAATTTTTAAAAAAAATGTGTAAAATATTTATTTGGGCAGATATAGGAAACTGCATTTTTTTTATATAAGATTTTTATATAATTTTAGACGAAATTATTCCATGATTTTGATAGGAAAATTATATTTTCTAAAACGAAGGAAACTGGTAAAAGGCACTTCCTTCAACGGAAGTTGAACATCCTTTTTGTTTTCCCTTATCTCCTAAAAATTTCAATTACCCTAGGATTTATTATCCAGTGCCACTGTATATTACATTAAAAAATATTTCTTTATAGTTAATTTTTAATAAAATATTATTCCTGGTAAATTCTATTGAAGTAAAATATGACTGGGAAATTGACGCTTGATTTTACGATAAAAATAACGGCAAAAATGACGTTTCTTACTTCTGAAATTACAGACGGCTCCACCGGATTTATTCAAATTTGAAAAACGTTCCGTTACAACCCAATCGTTGAAAGAGCAACAAGAAAGAAGCTGAGATATTTTGTGTTATTAATTTATTTTGGAATGACCAATTGTTCCGAGGAGAAATGAAATAAAAGAAACGTTTTCGGCTATTCAAAAGTAAAACTTTATAATCCGTCCGTCGGCCGCTGTTTTAGTTATTGATTAAAAGACAATAGAACAAGTTGGTTGTTGCAGTATAGAATTCTTTGATACGCCTACAGAAATATTTCCAAAAATTCATAAAAATCTATAACGGGTTTAAATGCAGAGTGTTTCCTTAACTAAATTCTTACATCTTCAGAACGAAGTTAGATGTAAGACGAGAGAAATTATGGAATCGTTAAAAGAAGCGGGATGCCCCGATTACTTGTACATGAAATTCCGCTGCAAACCGGAAATCACGCTATTTCGATTCAAAAGTTTTCTCTCGAAAGCAATTATAGATGATCGGCACGACTCTATTGTTAAAAGAAAAGAATGATGTACGGGGGCAAGACACTGCTAATTGCAGATGGAGAGCATATATTTTAAATAGAGAGGTTGAGGCGCACGTATTTAGCCCAAAACGTGTACGGGTAACGGGTGAGCGCCGCCATCTGGCAGCTCTGGACCGTCGATAATGGCGTTTGCTACGTATAGCTTGGTGAGTACTCGATCGGCTTAAACGTCTTCATTTTTTGTGTTTGGGGTTAAAATTATGATTTATTTTGCTTCCGCCATTTTTTTCGACTTATTTCCCGTGAGTCAATGCGCGATGTTCACTGAGTCACGTGATGTTATGAACGTGTGCCTCAACGATTTTTGCTTGGACTTGAAACGTGTAACGTGTACTTCTGCTACCCGTACACGTTTAACGTTTGAACTTGTGCCTCAACCTCTCTAATAAAGTAAATTATCAATATGGTTAAAAACTGCAGCACGGCATTGTGACCGTGTCACAATAAATCGCCATTCATTATTAATAATTTTTTATATTGTTTAAAAGTATTCATCCCTTTTCAATAATATTCGAATGAAATATTATTTTTCGAATTTCAATTTGTAACTTTCGAAAAATACAGAAATGAAAACAATTGGAATTTAAATATTAAATGGTGCCACTTCTTATTTTCTTCAGAATATTGACAATTGATTTACAGAGAAAAAAAAGCAAATGCCAATTCAGATAGAGTTCTGCCGTCGTCTTCGGTTCTGTCCGAACTGAAAAGTGGAGAAGAAACGACAATAAATAGCTGAAGATTTCTCGAGCAACATTTCTTGTTATATCGAATGGCCTTAGAGTTTGGTTTGTGGGATTTGCTAACAAGTATAGAAAGTGCTATACGTTTTTTTGTTGAAAGAAGTTTCTTGACTTATTGTAAACAAACGTAAGTACATCTTTTATTTTTTCTTAGGCATTGTTAAAGCCACAATTTTTAGGAAAAGGTTAGAAATGGTTGTTTTAAAATTTTAAATTCTTCAATCAAAGTTGTGAAATATCAAAATAAAAAGAAAGGATCTTCGTAAAATACAATATTATCTGATCTACTTGTTTTTGAACATAGCAGATAAAATTATTTTAAATATCCTATTAATAATTAATCAATGCACTTCACATGCATATGTATTCCTGTTTAAGAAAATTAACTTAAAAACGTTTATTTTTCAGATCTTGAACCCAGCTTGAATTTTGTGGATGACGTGTTCAAGAAAGAATTTCTAAAATTATTTAATTTGAAATATTTCATTTGTTTTATAAAATAATGTATAACATCATTCTCGTATCTGATTTCAAAACTTTGTTTTCAGATTCACTGTTAAACAATAAAGAGAAAAGAATCAAATGAAGAATTGTTTCCAGGAAAAAGGATGAGTCGAGGAATGCGTTTAACTTCTGTTTACAGAAGACTAAATTTGAGGCATTGATAAGAAATTATACAAGAATATGAAAAAGGAAGAATATATGTCAAGCAAATGAAGAGAAACAGAAATGAAATGAAGGAGATATTTTAAATAATTTCCAAATATGTTATTTGTTAAAATACTCTTCACATAAATTGCTTTGAGATAAATGTATAAATTACATTAATTTGTGATAGTATGTGTATACTGCTTGGAAATATTTGCAAATACTGGTGTAAGCAGTTTACGTATGATTTATTGTTTGATGTGGGGTGGTCTAGTTAGTTGTAAGGTATCAATTTTCGTTTAAAGAACCTTTCTAGAAAGAAAATTCTTTTTCTATCTGCACGCAAACTCTAACAATACTTTAAAATCAGCGATTAATTTTAGATATTTACGTATTCGATTAGCAATAAAGTGAAGAGAGTTTCAGTTTTAATGCTCTAATCGTATTTTACAGGTTTAAGCAATCAGAATTCAAGAAATGGGAAGTATCGATGTAACAGTTGCGACAAAGAATACGTTTCGAAAAATGGGTTAAAATATCATCGAAGGATCCACACTGGAGAAAAACCCTTTGCCTGTGATCATTGCAAGCAACGTTTTGCACATAAAGGAAATCTGATTCAACATCTCCGAACTCACACGGGGGAAAAGCCATTCTGTTGCGATTATTGCAAACGAAGTTTTACACTTAAACATAATCTGATAGAACATCTTCGTCTTCACACCGGAGAGAAACCATTCTCGTGTAATCATTGCTCAGAAAAATTTTGTTTTAAACGTTCTTTAAAATATCATATTATTAAACATCATAATAGTAACAAATAATGACTTGTGGAAATGATTTTATTAACTTTCCTTGAAAAATATGTAATACTCGTATTTTAGATATTATTGAACATGAAACAAGAAATTTCTAAAGTTTGATTTTCTTCGTTTATTAACGTTTATTTTGTGCATAAAACAATTGATTTTATGTACGGAAAAAAAATATGGTTTTTAGAATAAATACAAATTTTATTTATTAGCAAGCAATATGGTTATTTTTACTTGTTTACGTACGTGTCATTTATTTATAGCGATAACATTCATTTGTATTATTACGGAGAATTCGTTTATTGTTAGAAGTGTATTCAGAAACACGACAAGTAATCGTGTTTGCACGAAGATCAATTATTCTCACTCGCTTTATTTTCAGATACGAAAGAGATTAGAATAAGTGAATTTTACCGTAAATGTCGTTTTTTTTAAATCATAAACAGTAAAAAGTTTTAATAACGAAACCTTTTCATTTGAAAAATAGATATATCACGCAGACAACCAATTTCTAAACGTTGTATATATATTAAAGTGAAATAAACATTGCGGGACATAATTGTAGGGTCCCAGACGAGGTTCGAACTGGAGTAAACCGTGAAATTCATGCGCGACACGAGATGTAAACAACGAGACTCGGTGCGGTTCGAGTATGTGTCAACTATCTGTTAATGTCTTAGAGGAAGACAAACTCTAACACGAGCGCTCATAAACAGGTAGATCTTTGACTCGCGTGTCTATAAAATGTTGGCCGAGATAAACTTTTTTCGAACAAAAAATAGAGGAAATTTTGATAGGTGAAAGGTGAAAATGATCGTTAAATTCTTAGACGTCAAAAATGGTAAATAACGGCCTGAGTTATGAGTGCAGGTGTTAACTGCAAAAGTTCAACCCTTATTGACTGATTGATGTAATAAAGTAACGCGACACAACGGCGATCTGCGAAAAGGTAATGCTTCCGGAAATGCTTTTCTGCGGAAACTACTCGTTATTTAAGTGTCAGGGAGGCGAAAACTGCCCACAAATAACCACGCGACAAGTCCGTTATTCAGCCCAAACCCGCTACCTGTATTTAGCTGTTTTAGCCACTTTACCCCGTAATTTTATAAAGTATTATTTAGTTATATTAAATAAACAAGTATTGTATTTTTATTACGAAGTTAATACAAAATTTAATATAAGATTACATATAATATGCTCATCACTTTCTTTGGTATTAATAAAGCGAAAAGGAGTAGCGTGACACACGAAAATAAAGAAGTTGAGTAGTACCAAACTCTGTTTTCAGCCGACTTTCGGTAGTAAATAACTTTATTTTTCTGCTCAAAAAATGTCTAAGATTTTTTGAGCAGAAAAGATTCTAAAAACCAGAAAAACTTAAAATTATTGAATAAAAATTAAAAATTATCACCCCGACCTTACCGCCTCTAGTGGCCAGGATGTAAACTATATTTCCGCGGGAAAGTTGCTGAAACTATTCGAATAAGTAGACATTTTTAGACATCGATCTGTGGAACAATTTAAGTAGATTCGGGGATCCGTATCTTCTATTCATACGTTACTTCAGAAATGGTTACTGTTTTAGACTTTTACCACGGAATTCCTATCGGAACAGCACGTGTTGCGACAATATCTTCTAATTGCCATCACTACGTGTTCGTGAATAACGTCTCGCGCCATCCGCCATTGGAGATTGGATTTCGATGAGTTTTTAAATTATTTTTGTACCGTTCTCGAGCGAATTTTTGCTTTAATTTACTGTAGCGTGTTATTTACTGTATTTTAGAATTTTTATCTATATGACTTTGTAATGATGTACCGGTACACGCTGTTTGTCTATTCGAGTCTTTCTCAACGGGGGCGATTAGTAACAATTTATATTTTCGGAGGCGAAAAAACTATATATTTCAACGCTTTTCCCGTGTAATACCACAACTCTGGAAATCTCTAAAACATGGACTACTTTATTTAAACGTTATAAATTAGATTGCTAGAGCTACATGGTCGCATAGCAACTATAGTTTGCGAATTTTTATAATTTTCCGTTCTATTTCGAGACATTTTCGAACTGCAAGAAAATCTCGATTTACATTGGAGTTCCATTTAGCCTCACCGCTTTTTCAAGAAGTGCTACAACTCTGATACAGAAAACTCTAGTACAAGTCGACCCCCCTATAACACTGTTGATAATTCAGTTTTATATGAGTTCCATGTTGTACGAGTCACTTAGATTTTACAAATACGTGTGCTGGGCTGTGAACATCTCACGTATTTGTAAAATCTAAGTGACTCGTACAACATGGAACTCATATAAAACTGAATTATCAACAGTGTTATAGGGGGGTCGACTTGTACTAGAGTTTTCTGTATCAGAGTTGTAGCACTTCTTGAAAAAGCGGTGAGGCTAAATGGAACTCCAATGTAAATCGAGATTTTCTTGCAGTTCGAAAATGTCTCGAAATAGAACGGAAAATTATAAAAATTCGCAAACTATAGTTGCTATGCGACCATGTAGCTCTAGCAATCTAATTTATAACGTTTAAATAAAGTAGTCCATGTTTTAGAGATTTCCAGAGTTGTGGTATTACA